CGCCCTTTCTAATCAACGATACGTGATGTACTGTAATGAGCGCCTCCCCGGCCCGGGGCCACCCCTCCACCCCTCCTGCGCGCCGCCACCGCCCGGCAGGGACCAGGGGGGACCAGGGGGTGGGGGCGGCGCCAGGGCCTCGGCCGGGGCAGCGCAACCTGACAACTTTCCTCCGAGATGCGGGGACTCGGTGCGCCGCACATGCAGATCGTGGACCTACCCGGGCCGTGTCTTTTGACGTGGTCGCTGTTTCCTTTCGCGGGGGTACGCGGTGTCCTTGCGCGTATATCCTCGCGGGTCGCGGACTCTATCGCGAGGACTCGCGAGATCTCACGGGTGCCGAATTAGTGCCGAAGCTGGAGGGGAGCCATTGGATCTCTGTTGGCCCCTCTGAGCAGCACTTTTCTTTCTCTGGGAAGACTGGCCATCCCAAGCGGTTCATCGCACCGGCGGACAGGAAGAGGCACGCTGAGGTCGGCAAGGCGCGTCGCATTCGTAGCGGCCACATTATCTAAACTGTGATTTAAAATTGATTTCAGAACAACCATATCAAGCACATCAAATCTGGAAGAAAACCGGAGCGCTTGCAAGGAAACACCCAGTTATATCCACTCGATGTTCCTCTGGTCTGGAAGACGCAAGATGGAAGTGCAGTGTGTGTTCGGCTGCTCTGGTCGGCCACAACGCAGGAGTCGAAGGTTGCAGCCCCGTCCCCGCTATGGGCTGGAGCTGGATCCCGCTCGAGACCCCGTCACAAGTCGTCACTTTCCACTCCTCGCGCTAATCTTCCCATTTCTCCGGCGGGGCGAAGACAGTGACGGGAGGTGTGGCGTTGCGAGTGTCGTCCTGCCTATGATAGTTCCGAGAAACTCGAAGCCTTCCGTCGTGTGAAAAGCTTTCTCGGCCGCGACCTTGCACGCGCACGGGATGACTTTCGCTTTCCGGGAAATCTCCTATTTCGCGGAAAGCTGATGAAGCCGGGGGACCCTTGTGCTGGCGCAGGTACCCTGCAGGTACCCGGTGAGCTACCCCAAGGCCCAAGGTACCCGCCCCCCGTTTTTTTCCGCCACGTGTGCGCAGACGCGAGGACTTTCCAAAGAATAAAAATGCGTACAGCGCAAAAAAAGTAGAATATGTAAAAATAAAAGAGGGAAAGTACACATTTCAAGAGTTTACATTTTGTAGCGATTTTGTTCGTCGATGGGCGATTTCGCGTTTGCCAAAAAGGAGGCTACGAACCGCCACGCCGACCGCCGGTCCTTTTGACCCGAAGGCTAATGAGCTGACTCGATAACACCTCTCCGCGTTGAGGCCGCGCGGCCGCGCTTCGGTGACGTCCGGCGCGTCCGTGTGACGGGCGGCCACGGAGCACACAGAAGTGCTATGTCCTCCGTCCTCCGTGCGGGCGGCAGCACGGGTGGCGCCCACCTGGCACCTGGCACCTGGCCCACCACGCCCACCCGGCGCCCACCACTCGCTTGACGATCACCGCGTGTTTGTGTAAATGATCGCGCGACCATTTACACAAACACGCGTACTGGTCGCGTCGTCGGTGAACAACTAGTGTCATAGAGAAACAAACAAGTACGGCACGGCGCGCGCACGCACACACACACACACACACAGTACACACGAAACGCTCGCACTAGAACCAGAAAAGCGCCGAGGATTTACAAGAGCGGCGGAGTCGGCTTGGAGGCTACCGCGGCAGTCGCCGTGTTGTCCGTTAGAGTCGTGTCCGCTGAATTGCCTTTCAAGTTCACAAATGTGTGCGTGTGTGTGAATGTGTGAGAGTGTGTGTGAGTGAGCTGGGGGCGGCCGGTAGGGCAGAATCCAAAGGGATGGAACAGGGGCGACCTCTGCCCGCCTGACTGCGAGGGCGAAACGTCACTTGATGTTTGGAAGGACTAACGCTGGACGGAGCGGGGCGCGGCCGGGGCGGACCTGGATCAAAGGGGATCGTAAGCATCGGGTCAACTGAGTCATGTGCTGTTGCCGCCGGGGCCGGGCCCGCCGCGCCGGGGGGTCGCGCCAGCTAGGGTAAGGGCGGGAGGCGACGCGCGCGGCAGAGAACATGGACATTGGGCTTAAGCCCCAGCCCAGGTACGGGACGGGTCGCTGAGCCGCCTGTGCAGGCCGCGGCTCCAGCGGCGTGTCTCGCGACACGGCCTCGACTCGCGCTCCAGGAAAAGCACTACCACCTCCGGCGGGGCGCCGGGCCCGGCTTCGGACGAGGCGAGGAGGGAAGCAGAGGGAAGTCAAGTCAGGCGATCAGGACGCGCGTCACGTGGTGTCCGAATTGCTTGTCCCGGTGCGGAGCTGGCAGGGAGCGGGAGGGAGAGGGGGAGGGGGAGGGGATGGAAAAAGAAAGAGAGATCGAGAAAGAGAGAGGGAGAGAGAAAGAGAGCGAGCGAGGACGGAAGGACTGACGAAGAGGGATGCATTTGAATATGGCAATCGTTGTCCTCGCCCCCTCGTTGTCCTCGCGCCCTCCTTCAATCTCCTTTCTCGTTCAACCCCCTCACCAGCCCACTCCCCCTGCAGCGCCCCGCGGCCCAGGGCGTAAGAAAGGGCGGGCTGGTCGCCGTACACCTGTGCTCCCCCCGCCCAGCCCCGCCCCGGCACCCCTGCTCCTCATCACATTTGAACCGATAGCCTTCAAAGGGCATCCTGTCTCCTTCCGTCGCGGAGGGGCCGGCGAGCTGGTCCGAGCCCAACGGGGCTCGGCGTGGCGCGGCGCGGCGCCCTGTGCGTGAGGAGAGGACGCCCTCCTCCAACCCCCTGCCTTGACCGCCCCTGGCCGCCCAGCCTCCGCGCCGCCGCCTCGCCTCTCTTCTGCTCTCTCCCTCCCTCTTTTCTCCTTCTCTCTCACTCTATCGTCTCCTCTCCCTCTCCTCCTTGTCCGTGTGTGGATGGACCAGTCGAATTATTGACCTTGGGCGAAGGGGAGGTGGAGGAACGGCTTGCGGAGCGGAAGGCGAGAGAAGGGAAGGGGGAGCGGGAACGGACTGGACAGGGGAGGGGAGAGGAGAGGGCGAGAAGAGGCAAGAGTGGGGTGGGGCAGAGCAGGGGGAGCGGGGAGTGGAGGGGGAGGGGCAGCGGCAAGGAACCACCAAGAGCCGGGCCGGGCCGCCCGAACGTGGTCGGACGGACACGAAGGAGGAGGGGAGGACGAACCAGAGAGAGACGAGCGGAGAGGGAAGAGGAAAGAGCGAGAAGGAGAGAGAGCGCGAGCGAGAGAGCGAACAAGCGGAGCAAGCGAGGCAGCGCGCGCGCGGGGCGAGGAGGCAGTGGAGGGGGAAGGCGAAGGGGAGGGGGACAACTTGTGATTTTGGAGGCATCGCTATTTCTCCGCTCCTCCGTCGGCGTTCAGTCCTACCTACATACTTGGCGGAGAGCGAGGCGAGGCGAGGCGAGACGAGGCACGGCTTCGGAGTGGTGCGGAGCGTACGACCGTCCGGCCCGGTCCGGAGCGAGGCGAGCGCAGCGCGACGCGATGTTGGCGCGCGGTGCGCACGTGGACGTGCTGTTGTTAGTGCATTAGCGAGTGCGACATGGTGCGGACAGTGCAGTGTTTGTGAACAGTGTGTATAAAGTGACCAGTGCCTGTGGATTACTTACGTGTGGCGCGCATGGACGCCGGTCGTGTTGTGTGTGCGTGGAGAAGACGGGGCACGCCATGCTGCTAGAGTGCTAGCATGGCCCACCCGGCCGGCAACTCGCAGCACCACTGCAAGGACTGCAACATCTTCTTCGACAGCTCCAAGTCGCTGGACGTGCACCTGCAGTACCACCAGGAGCAGCCCAAGTGGGGGCCCGGCGCGCCGCCCGGCGCGCCACCCGGCGCTGCGACCAGCAGCCATGCCGAGGACAACAACAACTTCATCAAGCCCGCTGGCGCGGCGGGCCCGCAGCAGGGCGCCAAGCGGGGCGACTTCGGCGCGGTGACGGCGCCGGCGGACTCAAGCGACATGCAGGCCTTCCAGCAGCCGCCGCCGCAGAACTACCAGCCCTTCTCGCCGCAGTTCAACTTCAACAACAGAACGCGGAGTCCAACACCCAACGGTCCCAACGGCATGACGAATCAAGGTTTTGGTCCGGCGGGCCAGCAACAGCAGCAGCAACAACAGCAGCAGCAACAACAGCAGCAGCAGCAACAACAACAGCAACAAGAGTTTTCCAACATGCGGCCGCCGAGCACGGGCTCTATCAAGCAAGAACCCGGGTCGTTTAGCTTTGGCGGCCCGGAGTCTCAGCCAGGTGAGCAGAACGGTCAGTCTGGTAGCAATTACATCTTAGGCCCCGGCGACGACTTTCCTGTCATGTCGAACAACGGTGGGGTTAGGCCGCCGTCGACGCCCAACTCGGCGCCGCCGCCGTCGCCTCAGTCGTCGCAGATGCAGATCCCGACGTCGACGCCGTCGTATCGTTTCCACCCTTACGGCGGCCACCCTGGCATGGCGCAGCAGTACAACCCCGAGGGCCGCAACGTGGTGTCGTCATCATCCCCTGTACCTAGGCCGTCCCCCGCGCCCTCACCGCAACACTGCGAGAAGTGCGGCGTCATGTGTCCGTCGCAAGAGTCGCTCCGGGAGCACCAGGCCCTAGCGCACCCCCCGCATGGCCCTCCCCACGGCCCTCCGCATGGCCCGCCGCATGGCCCGCCGCACCTGCAGGGACCACCCCACGGTCCCCCTCATGGACCTCCTCATGGACCTCCTCACGGGCCCCCGCACGGGCCCCCTCACGGCGCGCCGCACGGCTTCCAGCAGTTCCAGCCCTTTAGACCTAAGCAGGAGCAGCAGGACGAGGAGTCTTCCATCCTGGACCTGGACTCCCAGAAGATCAACAGCGCTTACCACCAACAACAGCAGGAGGAGGAGCGGAGACGGCAGCAGCAGCAGCAGATGGGCGGCCAGCACTCCGTGTCCGCGCTGCTCAACTGGGTGGACTCCAACTCGCCCGCGGGGCCGCCGGGTCCGCCGGGACCCCCCGGCCATCCCGGGCCGCAGATGTGGCAGCGGAACGGGATGCAGCCTGTCAACGGCCCTCTCGGTGGTGGTATGCCATCGGGACCCATGGGCCCCGGCCCTGGGCCGGGTCCTGGGCCCGGTCCTGGAGGACCTCCTTTCAACCCCGCTCACCATGGCATGCAGGGTCCTCCGCAGCCGCAATACCAGCACCGGCCGTACCTCAACGCCGTGCCGGACAGCGCGGTGAGCGGCGTCAACGGCAGCCCCATGCCCCAGCAGCTCATCACCTCGTCGGCCAACCCTATGTCACCAGGCGGCCCTGGCGGCGCCCTCGAGGGGGGCGGCGGCGGCGGCGGCCTCACCAAGGGCGGCGGCAAGTCCAGCGGCAACGCGTCGTGGAAGTCCAACGAGGCGCGGCGGCCCAAGACGTACCACTGCTCGGCCTGTAACAAGTGGTTCACCAGCTCGGGCCACCTCAAGCGGCACTACAACACCACGCTGCACAAGAACGCCGTGAAGCAGAGCGGCGCGCCGGACCCGGCGTCGTTGCCCGTGAGCACGCACCACCACCCTGACCGCGACCCCAAGCACAGCAACGGGAGCAAGCGCGCCACCCCCGTCAACCTGGACTCGTCGGCCAGCCCCGCGCCCAGCAGCGGCGGCGGCGAAGAGTCCTCGCCCAGCGACGACGCCAGCCACAGCAACGGCTTCGGACGCACCACCCCCGGGCTGCCGCCGCCACCGCAGCAGCAGCCTCCCCCGCAGCAATCCATGCAGCACATGCCGCCGCCCCACCAAACCCACCAACTTACGGCGAGTCCCCCAAACCGGCTGGCAGGTCCCTCGGAGATGGCAACGGGGGGCCTGCTGTCCATGTCACCGTACCACCACGACCCCCACCCGGGTCTGGGGCCGCTGCCGGCTCAGCCTTCACCAACTCAGCATCCTTTTTTAGGGGTGGGTTTGCACCCTTCCCTCCCGCCGCCCCACCTCTCGGCGCCTCACCCTATCCACCAACCGGCGCCGCTGCACCATTTCCAGCATATCCCGCCTACCTCAATGGGCCACAGCCCGGGGGGCCACCACCCGCCTCCTTCTACGATGGGCGGCCTTACTACGATGACGGCTTACCCAAACGGTCTGCCCCCCCACGATTCTATCCCAACGACGCTATCTACCAGCCACCACCACCCCCACCACCTCACCAGTACTACTGGTAACTTGCCACTGGAGCCGCACGGCACGGTGCTGCCGCCCATGTCAACCCTGGTGCAGTACCCGGCCTACGGTGTGGACAGCTACGGTGGTTACGTAGTGAGTGCGTCACAGAACGTGGGGGGGCTAAGTCCCGTCCCTATGGACCCCAACATCATGATGCCAACCGCCCCTGAGGGCGAGCCTGCCGGAGCCCCCGGAGGCATGGGAGCCCCTGCCCCCCAGCTGACGACATTGGAGACGGCGCAGCCCAGCGCGCCCCTCGTCGGTCCGGCCACGGACGAGATGAGCCTCAAGATCTGCAACTCGTACTCGATGGCGCCGCTGCGCGTGGACGAAGACGTGAAGCAGCACACTCTAGATCCCCTCAAGATCGAGCCACCCCGCTCGCCGCCCGACTACCCTACCTCGACGGACGACATCATGAGGGAGAAAGAGTTGCAGCGGAAGCAGATGGATGAGAGTGCGGCGAGGAAGCGGCGGAAGCGGCCGCGCTCTGAGGACACCAACGTGAACGTGATATCCAGCTCCACGGAGGGCAAGTCACCGCCCTCCGACAAGGTGACCAACATGAGCGGCGGCCTGGTGTTCAAGTCGTCCATGATTTCAGAGGGTGGTTTCCACAAGTGCTTGGACTGCGACAAGGTATTCAACAAAGCTTGTTACTTGACGCAGCACAACAAGAGCTTCCATGCAGGAGATAAGCCATTCAAATGTGATCGCTGTGGAAAACGCTTCCAAACAGAGGACCTGTACAAAGAGCACCTGGGTAAGCACGCAGGTGAAAAGCCATTCAAATGTGAAATGTGTCCGAAGCAGTTCAATCACAAAACTGATCTACGAAGACACCTCTGTCTTCATTCGGGTGAGAAGCCATACGCTTGTGATGTATGTGGCAAAGGATTTATTCGTAAGGACCACATGTTAAAACACGTTGAGACTCATAGCAGAAGCAGAAATAATACCATTGTGATAGCCCATCACCAAATTTCTGCGTGATCCCCTGTCTAGTTAATCCAGTGAAAAGGAAGTGATTTGTTCTTTATTAGTTCCCTGTGAGTGTATCCAGGGCAAATTGGACTTGTTTGAAGCTGATGCTGGTGTGACTGCCCAGATGGGGCAATGCAATAAGCTCTCTCTCCCAGTTATGTTGAGTTAGATTTGTTCTTATTAATTGTGCCAAATTTTTGAAAGTTATGGGCCATTATTTTGTTAGGTTTCTGATGTCTGTTAAGTTGTTCCTTTTGTTCCTCGTGACTGTTCACGTAGGTTTTTCAATGTTCCTCGCCTTTTGTTAATTGACCTAGTTTCAAGTTCTAATTTGTTTTTA